ACAAAAAAACAAACAAACAAAACAAAAACAAACAGTTTCGGCTTCAGCTAGAACGAAGTGATTTGTTTGATTTAAAAATACACGTGAACGTAAAGAATAAAGGTCGTTTTTTTTCTAACCTATTTTGCCAAAATATCTCAATCCCTCCAGTACGCACTACGAATTCTGAATAACTCAATAACGGTGCTTAATTAATACACTTGTTTTCTCATATCGAATCAGGTGTCGCTAATAGTGTGGCTTGATAGGGCTGAGCGTTTTAAGAAAATAACGCTATAAAATGAATAATAGATAAATACTAGCGAACCAGCAAGCCTATGGCCCACATTTTAAGGGCTGCTATAATGCAAATTTAATTCCTTCAACTTAGTTACAACGTTAACTTTTAGGTCTTCTTATTTACGTGCTGTAATATAAATCAATGGCATATTTGGGGTCCGTTTTTGTTTTTCCTTTGTGCAAACCTGGGTGCCGAGACGAGTTGTTTACGATCAATTAGGAGTTGGTGCGACCAGCGGTTTAGGAGGAGTTACGTGACACACACACACGGAGACACTGAATATTATTATATTAATACCCGTGTAAAGAAGCATATTATGCTAATATAATAATAATAAGTTGGCAAACAACGATTTATAAGCATAATGAAGTAATTTGTTTTGAGAGGAACATACTACAGTGATCTGTCGAAATATGTAGTATGTTTCTCCCAAAATTAAATCACATTATTCTACTTATAAATTGTTTTTTGCTAACTTATTACCAAGATAAAAGGTAACACTATGAAAGAATGTTGGAAAATCTTGATTTTCATGGTGGTATATTACTAAGCTTGAGCTAAACTACCAACATTTAGCATTGGTAAACATTTCCTGAAATTGTGAATTCCTGTAAAAGTAAATAGCGCCCTTTCTTCGCGTCAGTATCCAAATAGTCAAGCCCTTATGATAGACTCTCATTCCAAAAGCTGGTTTCACTTAAGGAAAAAGTACACTTGAGGGGGGAATGTTAATTCTATGAGAAAGTATGATGTCCAAGGGATCCTAAGACGAAAGTGAAAACACGCATTATACGATGATCACATGATTATTATATTGTACAATCATACCGGCATGTAAATTGAAACATTGACAAGCGGTATAATTCATTGTTTTGACATTTCTTATCATTCATAATTTTCTAGGTGATGTACTTACATTTTATATAGTCTAAATTGGACTAAAGTCTGAAGAATATGTACCCTCTTAAATTATAGAACAGTCCCTCTCTACGTTTGTGTTGTCACAGCCCAGTCTTGCTGGGACAAACCTAATATAAAAAAAACGTCCACCACGTACCGCTGTTGTGCAAGAATCTCCTTCTTGAGGCTGCGGCGGGGCCGGATGAACCGGTAGATGGAGCCCCGGGCACTGGGGTTAGCTAAAGGACCATCCACAGAGATTGAACTCGACATGGCCGACGTTCCCGGCGCTCGCTGAATCAAAACCTGTCACAATTCATGCTTAGAAAAAGCGCAGTATTTGAAAGCCGACTTTTTGATTCCCATTTTGAGTTAATTAACAATTCATTTTAATGTTTATCGATATTTGTTTCTCTTCAGTCGATGGGCTCTTAACGTTCCTGCAGCACCAACCACATTGTAGTCAACCTTCACCTTCTACCAGCACAACACAGCTCATGATGATCAATTCGCAAGCTCCTGATTGGTTAATCGGGTCGACTATGCTACACCTGACTGGTTACATAAAACAGTGAGAAGCTACAGGTAGCATGCACTATTTGCCCTACGTGATGTGCTTGCTTCAAGTGAACAGTACCAAGTGTAGCACGTGCTGGAGCTTGTCCGATAATTAATGGAATGAAGAACGTCGTGAGGCACGACGTAACACTAAAAGAAGCGTGTGAAGCTCGTCTGGATGTTTGGATTCGCTGTCGCAAACCCTAGTAGGCGAGAGTGACACATGACAGGAACAGTGTGTGTTTCGCTAAATGAAAACACATATTCGACACAATATTTACATACTTCACGTACATACCAACACGCATATCAATACACAATACGTCGCCACTCGCTCTTGGAGTTGTGGGTCAACAGGAAAACTTGGATATTATGAGCAAGAACCAATAGAAATATTTCATATATTCATGTCACAGCTTCACAATCTACTTATAATAACATTTCAAATACGTATCACCTAAAAGACTGTGACGTTTTTTTTTATTTCAATTTCCTTCCACCAGACAAGAACAGAAGGACGTTGAATAGTGTTAACAGTTATGATAGCGAGATAGAAGTCTAAACACACCTTTGATTCCATTGTTACACGATACAGCGAGTAACAGCAAAACGTGCGTGATTTGAATAAAACCAGTTACAACTACTAGTACTCACGCTTGAAAACACAATGGGGAAACGAAAAAAATGTATGTAGACTATATTTTATAAGTGAAAAGATTACACCTTTGTACTGTTTTTACTTTGTTTTAACAAAAGCTATACGTAATTTTGGGTCATTTCGTACAAAAAAAAAAAAGAAAAACAACAACTTATAAAGTGGGTTACAGTACTTACAGAGCAAGCAAAACAAATATTAGAAGTCTCGATGATAAGTTCATTTGTATAATTGGTGCCTTTTAAACCACCTATTAAAATGAAAAAATATAGGACTTCAAGGATTTAGTTCCTAAAAACAAACAGTCATTTGTTACTTACAAGTTCTCTTGTTCTTGCTGCGTAAGAAATATGGTTATTCACTCGAATGAAAGAACAAACACCAATGAAACCAGGAATAGTGTGTTTTGACTGTCACTTTTATAATAGCACACCCACACCCCCAAAGTGCAGAATGCAATTTTTTGTTTTCTGTGGTAGCAGGACGCAAACCATGAACCATGAAACTCAAGAATCCGGGTTTCGATACCCGTGGTGGCCAGAGTACAGATATCCCATTGTGTAGCTTTGTGCTTAAATACAGACAAACAAACAAACAAATCACTTAAAGTCCCCCGGTAAGTCTACGGATTTACAACGCTAAAATCAAGGGTTCGATTCCCCTCAGTAGACACAGCAGATAGCTCGATATAGCTTTGCCATAAAAAGCACACATTTCACTTAAAGCTCCACCTTTTACTACTGACTTAATTGTCATAACCAACTCTTTTTTTCTTAAAGCTCGGTCCGACATGGCCAGGTAGTTAAGGCGCTGGATTCGCAATCTGAGAAGCGCGGGTTCGAATCCTCATCCCACCAAACATGCTCGCACTTTCAGCCGTGGGGCGTTATAATGTTACGGTCAATCCCACTATTCGTTGGTAAAAGCGTAGCCCAAGAGCTGGCGGTGGATGGAGATGACTAACTGCCTTCCCTCTAGTTCTTCACTGCTAAATTAGGGACCCTCGTGTAGCTTTGCGCGAAATTCAAAACAAACAAACAAACAAACTCTCCAAAATTGTCTATTAATTAGATAAATCAACTCACCATTACAGGATTAGAACTTAGAATTAACATGGTCAAAACATTTAAAGCCACAAATACATCCATTAGGCGTAATTTCTTTACGAACGTAACTATTCTGTAGATGGACATTTTAAAACTAATCACTTCAGGTTTATTTTTTACACAGATAAGACATACTTTATGGAACCTAGTCTATTCCATGCACTGATTAGCAGAAACAACAAACAATACTCGTCCTTCTTTGGTCGGGTTCAGGTCTTTTGTAGACCTGGGAGGGTCCGGTGCACTTGACCTTTTCCTCCCCCTTCAGCATGTTTATGTTCTTGCAGGAAAATATTAGTATAATTACTACAAGGGGGGATCAGAAATTTGCTAGGTTACCTGCGCACGTACTTTACACCCCAAAATCATGCAACTTTATTATAAATTTCGCGCCTTTGCGCATTACCGTGGGCAAGGTCGTTTTCGAATGACCCAAAATCCAATTGTATGTTGAGTCTGCGAGGTAACGTTTGTAACTTAAAGAATTTTCAGGTCAACTAGAAGATGAGTTTCCCATTAGCGACTGAGAATAAAACAGAAACAACTTCGAACAGTTCATGAATATGTATTATTCGTAAACGTGATATTAACCCTAAGTAAAAAAAAAAGCTCACATCCACACACTAAAAATACTTCAATTTTTCACTTGTGTAAAAATTACTCTTCTCTCAAAGACAGCCGAAAACCCATTACGGGAAGAATCTAACGAAAATATTTGGAATTTCCAAGTAAAAATAAAATAAACCATCTTTATAGTCAGGTGGTATGACGAAAAATAATATAAAATAGCGGTTCTTTGTTTGAAATGCAATACAACATGTTATGGGGTGTTTTATGAAGTCCTCTTTATGTTCCATTTCCCCCTTTATTTATTTATTTTCTAACAAAAGACGTTATGTTAGTACATTCATTCCGAAGTCTCATGAATATTACATTAGCAACCAGAGATCAAATAAAGCCCACTTACTAGTCTATACGCTTTGTAATAAAGTGCAGACATGATTCAGTGCTTGTCTCGGAGTGAAATGTTTTAAATCGTATAGTTATGAACATATTAACTCGGATATCTTGTTCTGCATATCTTGTTCCTTCATTCATCGAAAACAACAACAAAAAACAGCAGCAAACTATACTTGATTATTTAATGATTTAATCATAATAATAAAATTTTACATTGCCTCAATAAAATTCGATGGGGCAATAACATAAAACTTGAAACTTTGAATCTTATTCTTCTTGTCAGCACTGTATATGCTCTACGTCGGGCGTCGGTAATGTAATGTAATGATGACATATCATGCATTAATTTCTCTGACCTTTTGCCCATACGTTTCACGCACACATCAACGCACTTTTGGCTACATTCAGAACTTGCATATCAACACATTCAACACCTTCCAACAAATCCTGTACGAATTATAATTAACAATAAATGTAACAATAGAAACTTTATTCCAAGATCAGCAAAGTCGTTCGTAACAATATCAGAAATCAGCGATAGCATACTCTCAAAATGGCCACAGGCGAGTGAATATTTCCACACTACCTCTACCACGAAATAAATATCCGATGAGCAGTTGATCTAATGTTTTTGGACATCCTCTTAGCATTTCAGCATCTTAAATGAGACAGAAAAATGTTTAGATCCCACCAACTATCCTTTTCCCATTTTAAAATTTGGGTTCATCTCTCACCTTACACAATTTTGGAATCAAACAAGTTTTTATCAATCAAAAGGTTAATAAGTCATTTTAACTGTTTTATGTTTTAATTATTGAAATACCAAAGTTTCAGATACTCTTTTACCGTCAAGAAACAAATAAAAATGTGTGGGTATAAAACAAAAACTACACCAGAAAAAGTTTGACACCTGACTTCATATTAATTAGGTACGGTACGATACGGTATAAAGTTTGAAACTCGGCTTGTCACATAAACTAAATATGAAATTAAAAAGGTTACGAAAATACTGTTTTATATTAGATTACAAGCCAAAATTCTTGTTTAAAAACCATATCACCTAATCTGTACACAACATACGCAAATAAGTTGCTCTTGTAAAGTGTTTCGTAAACTAACACAACACAAGGAATGTTAAACAAAGGAATTCACACAGCAATTTCATGAAATTTGTACGTGGTAGAACAAGAAGATATATACAAATAGTTCAAGTGAAACATGAGAAAATTATATTAAAAAATGTTTTTACATTTGAACTGTTCCATAGCCAAAATATGAATATTCAACTACATTTTTTTTCAGTGACAAGAGACCGTACTTGATCAAATGCAACATTATTAAGTTCAGATCAATTTTAAGTGTTTAACCCTATTGACAATGAAAATTATTTGATAAAAGGACAACACCTGGCATTTGTGTCCACACACAGGATTTTTCAATAGTCAACCTTAAAATAAATATTATATATATATATTTATTCAATTTGGTAGTGTAATTAAGCTATTCCATTTTTCTCTTAAATAAAGTTCTACTGTAAACTTTTTTTTTTGTTGCAAAATTGTGGAAGGATGACTTATAACCACACGTCTGTTTCTGGGAAGGTTTCTTACTGGGGCTAACCAACGACGTGAATTAACTTTAGAGAATCCATCATGTGACACGCCACTTTAAACAGAATGGTTAACAAAGAAGATAATATGTGTTGTTAAAATCTTATATGTAGCGAAAAAATATATATACACATAGCTTCATAAGGAAGGCGACATCTCAATAAGAATAACCACCATCGTCTTGGAGTTTTATATTTGTGCTTGAAACAACGATACGTGTCAGTTCCGCCTTCAAAGAACAATAAATTATGCTTGTTTAAATACTAAAGTGACTGTCAGTTTTTTTTTTTTACATAAGCAATCTGCTCAATTTTACTCGTGGTTTGATATTTAGTTTACTCAAACAAACAAATAAATAGTCGATCAACATAACAAATGATCTCCTCCCTATTCCCTCTTTAAGAGATAAGCTTTTATGTTAGGTACACTCCAATTCTAAAGAAGTCTCACTGCATATTCTGGGGCCCGGCACGGCCAGGTGGTTAAGGCACTCGACTCGCAATCTGAGGGTCGCTGGTTCGAATTCCTGTCACACCAAAC